GTATACACACAAAGTAGTCTCAGAATTACTAACTCATACCCTTGTAAGGAACACATTTACTAGCTTGATTACAGCATTTATGTAGAGTTCTCTTTGTCTTTAACCTTAGAGTATCTAGTCAAGATAGTGGTTCCTAAAGTTACTTAGGTCAGTTCTTTTCTTTGCCACTTCCTTCAGTGAGGTTATGTCATTCATTTGTACTACAGTTACGTTTATTTGTTAGTGTTTGTATTCATTCTCTTCTATTTTTACAGCCGTCCCCTGGTATCCCTGGGGGACTGGTTCCAGAATCCACTGCAGATACCAAAATCTGAGGATGCTCAAATGCTTTATATAATATGCTGTGTAGTATTTATATATAAACTATACATATCCTCCTGTATACTTTAAATCATCTCTAGATGACATTACTTATAATACCTAATACAGTATAAATGCTACAGAAACAGTTGCCTGCACATGGCAAATTCAAGTTTTGCTATTTGGAACTTTCTGGAATTTTTTCCCCAAATATTTTCCATCTGCAGTTGGTTGAATATATAAATATGGAAGCCGAAAATACAAAGGGCTGAATGTAGTCTATTTACTCTCAGGTGGCTTCACCCATTGCTACGGTTTCATTGATCATCTTTTTTGAGCTATATAACCACATACACTCTTACTGGACATCCCCACCTACCTCGTGGGTTTGTTGTGAGGCTTAAGGGATTAAATATTTGTAAATATTTAGATCATATTAGCACTTAGCGGTATTTATATATTTTACATATTACTCTTACTCTATCATATTCCCTGTCTCAAGGAACAGTGCTACCAAACCTGAAACCTGAGTGCCATTCCTGACCTCTCTTTCTTTCCCTTAGTCTCATTCCCCAATCAAACGTCAAATCCTGGTAAATTTCCCTCCTTAAACACGTAGTGAGTGTTCCATCTTCACTTCCACTGCCTTTATTCAGGTATCATCTCTCACTTTGATTACTGCCACACCCATCTAACTGGTCCTTGACTTTAGTCCAACATTTTCTTCACACTGCAGCCAGAGAGATCTTTCTCCACACCCCTTCTCTACTGTGGAAATGCCTTCACTTTGTTTTCTGACAAATATTAAAATGAAAATTTTAGTAAATACAGAAAAGCAGAAAAAAAATCACCTATAATGTCATCACCTAGAGATAACCAATTACTTTTTCGGGATATGGCCTTTCAGGCTTTTCCTTCACAAACACACACACACACACTCATGCACATTATAATATGGCATGTTATTTCTTTTTTGAAACCTGGATTTTAATTGATAATATTGTATACATCACTTCATGATAGAAAACAAAAATATAAATATTCATTAAAAAAAAATAGGCTCATAGTATATTCCACTGCATGCGATACCTAAAGTTTATTTAACAAGTTTATTATTAATAGACATTTAGGCCTCTCTCTCTCCTTCTTTCTCTGCTGTTACAGACAACAGCAAACATTATACAGTTTTGGCATAATTTTGCCTGACTATTTGCTTAGGATAAATTCCTAGCAGAGGAACTGCTGGGTAAAAAGGAAGGCAGGGCTTCCCTGGTGGCGCAGTGGTTGAGAGTCCGCCTGCTGATGCAGGGGACGCGGGTTCGTGCCCCGGTCCGGGAAGATCCCACATGCCGCCGAGCGGCTGGGCCCGTGAGCCATGGCCGCTGAGCCTGCGCGTCCGGAGCCTGTGCTCCGCAACGGGAGAGGCCACAACAGTGAGAGGCCAGCAAAAAAAAAAAAAAAAAAAAAAAAAAAAGGAAGGCAAAAGGTGTTCAGAAAGGTGTATCATTTTACATATTCAGCAATATATGATAGTGACCATTAGCCAATGTTAGGTATTATTCTTTTTAAATCTAATACACAAATAGTATTTAACTGCTGCTTTAATATGCAATTGTTAGATAACATGTAAGCTAGGATTTTTTTTTTTTTTTTTTTGCGGTATGCGGGCCTCTCACTGTTGTGGCATCTCCTGTTGCGGAGCACAGGCTCCGGACGCGCAGGCTCAGCGGCCATGGCTCATGGGCCTAGCCGCTCTGCGGCATGTGGGATCTTCCCGGGCCGGGGCACGAACTCGTGTCCTCTGCATTGGCAGGCGGACTCTCAACCACTGCGCCACCAGGGAAGCCCATAAGGTAGGATTTTTAACTTTTCTATTTTTTCTTTTATAAATTCCCCTTTTGTGTCAATTGTCCACTTTTCTACCATGTTGTCTTTTTCTTATTGATTTGTAAGAGTCCTTTATTACATAGTCTGCAATAAAGGACTAAATGAGCAGGTCTGAATGGTCCAAACTCTGCATATTCCAAGGAAAGGTTTGACTCTGGCCTTGCTCCTAGTAGATAACCTATAAGCCCCTGAAACATCCCGTCTGTTAAGAGTGTCTCTGTTTACCTGAGGCCTTGGGACAGGTCAAAAACTTTATGCTAACAATGGGATTTATGGTGGGAACCTTGGGCCATGTGGTATCAGCTTGCCCACTGGAGGAGCTGGAGACTGGAGGTCAGCAAAATGGATGGGCAGCCATGCTTATATGACCAACTTCCAATAAATACTCTGGACACCAAGGTTTGAATGAGTTTTCCTGGTTGGCAGTACTGCACACACATGGCCACACATCATTGCTCAGAGAATTAAGGACTACTTGCACAAGTCCATTGAGAGAGGACAACTGGAAGCTTGCACCTGGTCTCTCCTGGACCCTGCCTTACATGCTTTTTTTTCATTGCTGATTTTAATCTGCATCCTTTCACTGTAATACTCATCTTACTGGGAGTATAACAGTTTTGCTGAGTTCCGTAAGTACTTCTAGAACATCACTGAACCTGAGTATGGTTTGGGGACCTCTGAACACAGATAGTAACCAGCAACTCCCCTGTCATAACATAGATAACAAATATAGTCTTCACTTTATCATTTGTCTCTAATTTTTGCTGCTTTCTGAAAAGAGCTAATATTTAAAAATTTTACCTTATAAAGCCTGGGGATTTTCTTCTCTCTGTATAGGTTCTAAGTGCGTGTGAGGGTTTTTGTTTTGTTTTGTTTTCCTCACACAGATTATACACTTTAACAAGTTTTTTTTTTTTTTTTTTTTTTACACATTCTACATAAAAACATGAGTATGCAAAACATGGGTGTACACAGAGTAAAATATGTGTGCCTTTCAACTTCTCTTCTACACATTCTACTAAAAACATGAGTATGCAAAACATGGGTGTACACAGAGTAAAATATGTGTGCCTTTCAACTTCTCTTCTACTCTACCTCCCTCCCTGGAGGTAACTCATTGTCAGTCACATGGTTTGCATCCTTTTCTGTGTATTTATGAACATACATAATATAACCACATACATACTTAATGCACACCACACTATATTCATTGTTCTGCAACATCCTCTATTCACTAATGTCTTAGAGATCTTTCTTTGTGTGTTAACTTCACAATAAACTACATAATAAACTATCTGATTCTATTTTATAGCAGCACAATATTCCACTGTATGGGTCTATCACAATATGTTTAACCATATCCAGAGTAAACATTTAAGCTGTACCTATTTCTCAAATTACAAACAATATTGTAATAAACATCTTTGTACACACTTCCCTGTGTACCTGTGCAAGTATTTCTGCAGGACAGATCTTAGAATAGAATTTCTGAACCACAGAGTGAGCTCATTTAACATTTTTTAAATGCAGTCAAATTGCCACCCAAAATACTTCCTCAACTGTACAACCGGTGCCCTTCCCCCCTGCACTTTCCTCAACACTTTGTATCACCAATATTTTTATATTTTGCCAGTGCAGTGGGTGAAAAATATGTCTTCATTTGCATTCTATGGTTACTTATGAAGTTAAGCACTTTTTTCATTGGTTTCCTGTATCTTCTATAAATTGCCTGTGCATATCCTTTGCCCACTTTTCTCTTTTCTCTTTTCTTTTTTCAACAAGTCTCTTTACATATTATAGACACTTTCTCTAACACATGTTGCAAATATTTTCTTCAAATCTCTAATTTTTAGCCCTTTGTTCTTTTCAAATACAAAAACTTTAAATTTTGATATCATTAAATTAATGAATTTTCTCCAGAGGGTTTTGTTTCCTGTTTGGGTGGTTTGGTAGGGCTACAGCATAAAGTGCAAGGGTGGAAGGCCAAGCAGTATACAATATTAAGGTCATAAAGGGCTTTGAGGGCACTGCTAAGAAACTAAAACATTATCCTGATGGCAGCAGGGAAGCATATAAAAGTTTTCAGCAATAGAGTGACTTTCAACAAATTTTCCATTTAATAAGAGCACCTACTAAGTGCCATGGTCAACTCTGTCTCTTAGAAAATGGTAACTTTTGTACCTTTTACATTTCCCACAATTCAAAATAACTAAAAGACACAGAAAGCTCATTATGTTAAAAGACACAATTAGGGGAATCTGCTCTGCCACATATTAAAACAAAATGGTATCAGTGCAGAAACTGTGAGGGCCGTGAAACAGTCTAGAAACAGATCCGAGTATACACACGCCTGTAGAATAGAATAAAAGCGTCATTTCAATTCAGTGGGAAAACAGATGATGGCAAGACCACTGGGGAAAAAGGCATATTCCTATCTAACACGTTATCACAAAATTAATACCCAGTAGGTTAAAATGTGAAAAAAAAAAAAAAGCTATGTAAAAAGTCCTTTAAAAGTATTACAAGAAAATAAAGGTGAATGTTTTAATACTCTTGAGATGGGGAAAACTTTCCAAAAATGATACCCACCCACGCCTATACCAAAATAAATTGCATAAGATATTAGAGGAAAATAGGTTGGTAATCTTGGAATGCGGAGGCCTTCCTATCAAAGGGGCACAGGGTATCCAAGAAGTCTAAGAGCGCCGCTGGGGGGCTCCGAGTTGACCGGAGGGGCGGCGTCCGTGACCCGGGAACCCGGGGCCGCCGCCCGCCCTGCCCCCTCGCCCGCCGCCCGCGGGGGCCGCACTCACCCGCCTCCACAGACAAAGGGCGCCCAGGCCGGCTCCGCCCCCTGACGACTGCACCGCCGCCGCCGCTGCCCGTCCGGACCCAGGCGGGAGAGAGTGATGAGGGCCCTGATGCCTGAGCCAATGACGCCCAGTGACGGGGCCCTTGGGGTTGGACCAGCCGCCGGCGCCAGCCGGGCTCTGACGAAAGCCTCCAAGCAATGGCGGGCGCGCCGCGCTGGCTTCGGCTCTGCGATACGCATGCGCCGGCGGCGCCCAGGGCCGACCGCTTCCCATATGCAGGGCTCGGAACTTCCACCCGCTTCCCCGGGCCTGCTTCTCACCAGGGCCGAGCTGACCCCGGGGGCCCGGACCGCTCCCTGCACTCGCAGAACTGCGCCTTCCGAGAAGGCCGAGGACCCCCTCATAGCCCCTGCCAATCAGAAGCTCCCGCGTGGGTCGCTGCTCGGTCCCCTAGGTGACCACACAAGCCGTCGCTCTCCTCAGTCCTGAAATACTGGCCCCCTCCCGAATTTTATATTGACGAAACTAAAAATACAATAATAATGATTGAATATATATAATACAGGTCTACTGATGAGACTAATGGAATTCTTTCAAGGGGGTAACATTTTGCTTAATTGGGATTCACCAAAATCGGTTGCAAATGTTCATCTGTTAATGCTAGCATTCATTGGGGAAAGGAGAGACTTTTCAACAAATAGTGTTGGAACAACTGGATATGCACATGCAAAAGAATAAAATTGGACCCTAGCCTTACACCACATACAAAAAGTAATTCAGGGGCTTCCCTGGTGGCGCAGTGGTTGAGAGTCCGCCTGCCGATGCAGGGGACACGGGTTCGTGTCCCGGTCCGGGAAGATACCACATGCTGCGGAGCGGCTGGGACCGTGAGCCATGGCTGCTGAGCCTGCACGTCCGGAGCCTGTGCTCCGCAACGGGAGAGGCCACAACAGTGAGAGGCCCGCGTACCGCAAAAAAAAAAAAAAAAAAAAAAGTAATTCAAAATGGATCAAAAAACCTAAACGTGAGAAGTAAAATTATAAAACTCTTAGAAGAAAACATAGGAGAGAAACTTCATGATGTTGTTCTTGGCAATTATTTCTTGTATATGACATCAAAAGCACAGGCAACAAAAGAAAAAAATGGATAAATTGGACTTCAATATTTAACACTTTTGTACATCAAAGAACAGTAGTAATAGAGTGAAAAGACAATCCACAAAATGGGAGAAAATATTTGCAAATCATATATCTGATAAGGGATTAATATCCAGAATGTATAAAAAACTACTCTAAGTCAACAACAAATAAACAGGTGACCAGATTTTAAAATGAGCAAAGGACTTGAATAGGCAATTCTTCAAACAAGGCATGCAAATGACCAAAAAGCACATGAAAAGATGTTCAGCATCACTAATCATTAGGGAAATGCAAGTCAAAACCACAATGAAATACGAAGTCACACCCACTAGGACGGCTACTACGAAAAAACAGTTAAGTACAAGTGTTGACAATGATGTGGAGTAATTGGAACTCTTGTGCGTTACTGGTGGAAATGTAAAATGGTACAGCTGCTGTGGAAAAGAGTTTGGCAATTTTTCAAAAAATTAAACACAGAATTACAATATGATCCAGCAATTCCATTTCTGGGTAGATAACAACAAAAGACTTGAAAGCAGGATCTCAAAGAGATATTTGCATCCCCATGTGTGTTACAGCATTATTCACAATAGCCAAAAAGTGGAAGAAACCCAGTGTTTGTTGACAGATGAATGAATAAGCAAAATGTGGTATATGTATACATACTATAGAGTATCAATCAGCCTTAAAAAGGAAGGAAATTCTGAAACATGCTACAACATGAATGAACGTTGAAGACATTATGCGAAGTGTAATAATTCAGTCACAAAAGGTCAAATGCTACTCAGCCATTAAAAAGAATGAAATAATGCCATTTACAGCAACATGGATGGACCTAGAAACTGTCATACTGAGTGAAGTAAATCAGACAGAGAAAGAGAAATATCGTATGATATCCCTTATATGTGGAATCTAAAAAGAAATGACACAAGTGAACATATTTACAAAACAGAGACAGACTCACAGACTTAGAGAACGAACTTATGGTTACCAGGGAGGAAGGATGGGGGGAAGGGATAGTCAGGGAGTTTGGGATCAACATGTACACACTGCTATATTTAAGATGGATAACCAACGAGGACCTACTGTACAGCACAGGGAACACTGCTCAATGTTATGTGGCAGCCTGGATGGGAGGGGAGTTGGGGGGAGATTGGATACATGCATATGTATGGTTGAGTCCCTTTGCTGTGCACCTGAAACTATTGCAACATTGTTAACCAGCTATACTCCAATATAAAATAAAAAGTTAAAAAACAAAGGTCAAATACTGTATGATTCCACTTATATGAGGTACCTAGAGTAGTTAAATTTGGACACTGACAGACATTACAATTGTTGCCAGGGGCTGAAGGTGGAATGGAGATGTCTAGTTACTGTTTAATGAGTACAAAATGTCAGTTTGAAAAGATGAAAAGACTTCTGGAGATGATGGCTGCACAACAAAGTGAATATACTGAATGCCACCGAACTTAAAATGGTAAATTTTATGTTATGTATTTTTTAATACCATAAAAAGAGAAAAAAGACAGCTGGATCCTTATATCTGTTTCTACATTTAATCTTTTGAAATATGTTGTTTTGGTTGATGTTTCTGAAGAAAATCTGGCTTCATATAGATACATAGTTGGAAAAAAGAATGCTTTAATAAGTCTTCTCTTGTAATTGTGAATATTCTTCTTTGATACCCCACCAAAACTTGATGAGATTAGTTGCAATGTAGAATCTGAAACCATATTCATATACTTTTGGTTTTTACACCACAATCTGTTAGTCTGTCTCACTCTCCAAATGGATCTTGAACTCATGTATGACTTTTTAATGTCACACACTGGCCATTTGGAAAATATCGGTTTACTGAGTTACCTAACTCAGTGGGTCCTAAATGGGTATGATTTTACCCTCTAGGAAATATTTGGCAATGTCTAAAAATATTTGGCAATATGTGGCAATGGTTGTCACACGCTGGGGTTGCTACTGACATCTACTGGATAGAAGCCAGAGATACTGCTAAACATTTTAACAATGCATAACAAAGGATTATATAGCTCCAAATGTCAATAGTGCTGAGGTTGGAAAACCCTAGTTTATTTAATGCTGACATATTTCATTATGCACTATAAAAATTTGTGTTTGTTAATATCATCACTAATCTTTTTGGGAAAGTTTGTAAGTATTAGGAAGTTGTCAAGATAGTGGATACAAGTTCTCCAAAAACTTTAAAGTTCAAATTTTATCATTTACAACATATATTTTCAGTTATTTTCCTTCATGCTATAAAGCACACTTCATTCATTTTCAAGAAACTGTCTTAGAAATAACCAGGTCTAAAAAACTAGTATTTGTCAGTTGTTTTTGCAGTTGAAATTGGTGTTCCATAAAATAAGGAGTTACTATTTCTCACAATCACATAACTTGTTTTGCTCAAGAGAGCCATCGCACTTGTATACGGTATAAATGCTTTATGGTACTCACTACCTTGATTAAAGTAGCAGCAGTTTTAGCCACCATTGCTTTTGACCCATCAGTGCAAATGTCAACACAGTGGAAAAAGCAAATTACCTTAGTATTATTAGAAAAAAATGTTGACGTACGGGCCTCCTGAAAGAGGGTCAGGGATCCCCAGGGGCCCAGGGACCATACTTTGTAAACTTCTACTCTAGATTTATGTGAAAGAAGTAAACCCCTATTTGTTTAAGGCACCATTAATTAGGTTTTAAAAAATAAGATAACTTGTATCTTTAGTTTTCAAACCGTCTTCTGCAGACTTGCCAAAAAGTCAGCAGTTACACAGAGATACTCTTATTTTTTTAAAATTCCTCTCTTTTTTTCAAGAGTTACTGAGATATAATTGACAAATAGAAGTTGTATATATTTAAGGTGCATAATGTGATATTTCGATATACATATACATTGTGAAATGATTACCACAATCGAGCTAACATATCCATCACCTCACATAGTTACCACTGTGCGCATGTGTGTGTGTGTGTGTGTTGGGGGTAGGAGAATGCTTAAGATCTACTCTTAGCAAATTTCAAGTATAAAATACAGTATTGTTAATTATAGTCACCATGCTGTACATTAGATCTCTAGAATTTTTTCATCTGTATAACTGAAACACAAGACTCTTAAATTTATAGTAATTTACTTCAAATTCTGAGGTAGGATAAGTACAAGAAGTTAAGAAATAACCCTTTTTCAGTGGTTTTAGTGTTTACTGTTGGATTGCAATTAAAGCTCGGAAATCACTGTGATACCCACCATTATTGTTCTACTAAATAATATAGAACCTTCATATATACTAGACTAGAGTAAACCATACCATAGAACAAAACACTACCTGTATTAGAAAACACTATTTACCATTAGGGAAAAAAATGAGGTAAATCTATATACTAAAGTGGAATAATCCTCAGGATATATCAAGTGAAAAGACGATGGTACAGAGCCATTCTCTAATTCTGTTTGCTTTTCTCTTTGCTATGCTTATATATACTATTTCCCTTTAAAACATGCCTCATAGTCTCAGTATCTTCGTGTTATACTCAAAAGTAGGGTAGCATGTCCTTCTCAGGCAGTGTTGCTTAGAAATCAGCACAGCTTGCTCTCTTGTACCTCTCCTCCCTTGTTCCAAACTGTTGCAAACACAGTGAATATTTGGTCCAGAGCTGGGGACAGTAGAAAGAACACCAGCGTTGGAGTCAGTTCAGACCTGTGTCTGCTGCATAGCTGAAATCTTGAGCAAGTAAGTTACTTAATTTTTTTGATTCTGAATTTTCTCTTTTAGCATATGGCAATGAAAATATAAGTATCTCATATCTATTATGAGAACTAAAGGAGATAAAGCACATCAGCACTCAGCACAATGCTTCATAAATGACAACTATCGTTAATTTTGTTCCTTGTCTAAGGGAGTCGTTTAGCGTTTTAGAGGCTCTGCTTTCGCAATTCTCCTTCAATAAGTACACTCTAACACCCCAGCCTCCCCTGATCAGCTACTCTGGAAAGTTAAGTAATTATAACTGTCTTCCTGGTTCTTTTAGCACTTTTTAAGAAGGAAGGGGGGTGATCTAGGAGTACAGAATTAAGAGCCACAAACAACTACCTATAAAATAAATAAGCAGCAGAGATATATTGTACAGCACAGGGAAATATAGACATTATTTTGTAATAACTTTAAATGGAGTATAATTTATAAAAATATTGAATCACTGAAAGCAATATACTATTAGTTGTACACCTAAAACTAACATACTATTGTAAATCAACTATACTCCACTAAAGAAAAAGTGAAAAAGAAAAGCAAAATTCCCTATTTCCGTTTCTCAAGCCCAGAGAGTTCTTTAAAGGACAATACTCTTTGTCCTTTTGATTTCAAAAGGGAGTTTACCTTTCTTTAGATGCTTTTTATATGTTTATGATTAAATGTATTACTGTACATTATAAGTTGAGTATTATTTATTATATAGAAGCCTGTTTAGCAAAGCAGCCACAATTGAAAACAGGTTAACAGTGTGGACTGAAAGCCAAAACCAGGGATAATGTCTATACTAGGCTCCCTTATTGATCTAAATTGTATTGTAGGAACGTAGCCTTTTAAAGTAATCTTTTAAAGGTTTTTGTTTCTTTATTTTCAGCTCCTTCAGTCTGACATGGCAGAAAAACCAATGCGTATGTCCACACAAGTACATGACGATGAAGATCTAGTTGAGTATATCTTTCAAAGAGAATTCTCCTTTTTGTCCTTAACAAAATTGTGTAGCTTCAAAATATTGACTCAGTAAACTGATATAGACCTAGATGGTAAAGGCTTATGTTTGGACACGAATTAACTTTTATACTGATTGGAGTTAAATATCAACGATCGTTTAAATAACTGATGCATGTTTCTTGCATCTGCAGACATTTTTAGTAGTACAAAAGACTATTCCTATTTAACACCAAAGAATAACAAATGAAAATTCCAGAACCTCCCAGTAGGTGAGGAGAATAATGCTACTTTGATGCATATGTTTGTGGACCTTTAGATACTGATAATTAAAAACTTTTAAATGAAGTTATTTTAGGAAGTGGCTGGGTGGCTGCTTTTTTATTACTTTACTGAGTGGGAGATTGAACCAAGTTCCATTTTAAGACGTGTCTCTGTAATAGGGAAAACATAGTAATTCACATACAATTTTACCCTAAAAGAGAGAGTAGCATATCTGAATGGGTGGAAACTGAGTTTTAGAACTATTTTTGACCAAAATAGATACATGAACAGATACATGAATATTGAGCTATGTTAAGTAGTGTTTGTTTATGACTTAATAACTAATGGCTCTCTTTTCGGTGTTTTCCTCCAATCATGCATGGTTTTCTGTATCTTCGTTTGAACCATCAAATGATCATATTTTTTCTCTTCTCTTTCTCAGTTACTTTTCTGAAGTGAATGGCTTATTCCACCTTTATTTTTCTATCAGCCACACTTTAAAAATCACATTTGATCCAACTTTCATCTTCGTTGCTTTTCTGAAACTATTACTGACCCTTTCAAGTCGGATCCCCACAAGAATCCTCCTGCCTGGGGTCACTCGTGCCAGTGGAGTGAGACTGATTGCGGCTCAGAAGCAAAGGAAAGTTTAGTCTTTGATTAAAGAATGGAGAGGTGTGAGCTCAAGCTCTAAAGTACACACTCTGCAGACGGGCTGTTGGGCAGGCTGCTTCGCAGGGTTCCAGTCTGCGGAGGGAGGGGCGGAGATCTCGTGGGTGCTCACGGCACCCCACCTCTATCTTGATTTGAAGTGCTGCTCGCAGGGCTTCTCCACATGGTATGCCAAGTTGGGGTGTTAGGCCCATCGGTTCTGTGCTGGGAACTTTAATCCCAGGTGTTAGGTGTAGGCCACTGCACATGGCCCCCTGTAGGCAAGTGAAACTGGACTTAGCGCGAAAGAAAAGGTTAGAACTTATCTTATTGTTACCGACCCTTTTGAGTTGGGGTCCAACAAGAGTCCTCCTGCCTGATGTTATTGGAGCCAATAGAATGAGAGCCAGTTTGGTTCAGAAGCAAAGGAAAGGTTTATTCTTTGATCAAAGAATGGAGAGGTGTGAGCTCTCGCTCTAGAGTCCTCGCTCTCCTGAACAAGCTGTTGACGGGCTCGCTTTATAGGGTTCTTGTCAGTGGAGAGAGGGGCGGCGTTCTTGGAGGGTGACTGCAGTGCCGGGTGCAGCAGCATCTCTGCACATGGTTCACTGTCATCAACTTGAATTGAGGTGTCATGCACAGCGCTTCTCCATATGGAGCGCCAAGCTGGGGTGTCGAGTGCAGCGGTTCTTTTTGTTGTTAATTAATTAATTTTTGGCTGCGTTGGGTCTTGATTGCTGCGCACAGGCTTTCTCTAAGTTGCAGTGAGCGGGGCCTACTCTTGGCACGTCGGCCCAGTAGTTGTGGCTTGTGGGCTCTAGAGCACAGGCTCAGTAGTTATGGCACATGGCCTTAGGTGCTCCGTGGCATGTGGGATCTTCCCAGACCAGGGCCTGAACCCATGTCCCCTGAATTGGCAAGTGGATTCTTAACCACTGTGCCACCAGGGAAGTCCTGAGTGCAGTGGTTCTGAGCTGGGAACTCTAATCCCACACGTTAGGTGTAGGGGCTCTGTGCTTGGCCCCCTTAAGGCAAGTGAGATTAGACTAAGCACAAAAGAAGAGGTTAGACCTTATCCGATCACCTAGATTCCATCATATTTTGCCCAGGGACCCCAGTGGGCTTTGCTGGTGACAAAACTACTGTCAGAGTCCTATCTCAGTGATTAAACCACTGACTCATGTCCATCCCATATTACCTTTGGGCCCTCTGATACATTAAATCACGGTGAATGCTCCTCTGTTTACATGACATTAAAATCATAAAATTTTCGAATAGGCGGATCCCCAAAGCCAATTAGTCGAACTTTAATCTGATATATAAATGCTTGCTACAAACCATTTAGCAAGTAGTCTTCCAAACTTTTTTTGAACCCTTTACAACTGGCAACTTAATTTATTCTCGTTTTTGAAATTAAAAATAACATTATTAAAAGAAAATTTCAAACAATAAGAAAGAGATAACAGGCCTCTCAACCTAGCTCTTTACAGGCAATAACTAATCTAATCTTTGAACAACTTTTCATATCAGCCCATACTGATCAACCTAATTCTTTTTAATAGCTCTGTTCTTTTTTTTTTTTTGCATCTTTATTGGAGTATAATTGCTTTACAATGTTGTGTTAGTTTCTGCTGTATAACAAAGTGAATCAGCTATATGTATACATATGTCCTCATATCCCCTCCTTCTTGCGCCTCCCTCCCACTCTCCCTATCCCACCCCTCTAGGTGGTCACAAAGCACGGAGCTGATTTCCCTGTGCTATGCAGCTGCTTCCCACTAGCTATCTATTTTACATTTGGTAGTGTATATATGTCAATGCTACTGTCTTACTTCGTCCCAGCTTACCCTTCCCTCATGTCCTCAAGTCCATTCTCTACATCTGCATCTTTATTCCTAACCTGCCGCTAGGTTCATCAGAACCTTTTTTTTTTAGATTCCATATATATGTATTAGCATACGGTATTTATTTTTCTCTTTCTGACTTACTTCACTCTGTATGACATACTCTAGGTCCATCCACCTCACTACAAATAACTCAATTTCATTTCTTTTTATGGCTGAGTAATATTCCATTGTATATATGTGTCACATCTTCTTTATCCATTCATCTGTTGATGGACACTTAGGTTGCTTCCATGTCCTGGCTATTGTAAATAGAGCTGCAATGAACATTGTGGTACATGACTCTTTATGAATTATGGTTTTCTCAGGGTATATGCCCAGTAGTAGGATTGCTGGGTCATATGGTAGTTCTATTTTTAGTTTTTTGAATTTTATTTTATTAATTTCTTTATACAGCAGGTTCTTATTAGTTATCTATTTTATACATCTTAGTATATACATGTCAATCCCAATCTCCCAATTCATCACACCACCACCACCACCCTGCCACTTTCCCCACTTAGTATCCATACGTTTGTTCCCTACATCTGTGTCTCAATTTCTGCCCTGCAAACCGGTTCATCTGTACCATTTTTCTAGGTTCCACATATATGCGTTAATATACGATATTTGTTTTTCTCTTTCTGACTTACTTCACTCTGTATGACCGTCTCTAGATCCATTCACATCTCTACAAATGACCCAATTTCGTTCCTTTTTATGGCTGAGTAATATTCCATTATATATATGTACCACATCTTCTTTATCCATTCATCTGTCGATGGGCATTTAGGTTGCTTCCATGTCCTGGCTATTGTAAATGGTGCTGCAATGAACGTTGGGGTGCATGTGTCTTTTTGAATGATGTTTTTCTCTGGGTATATGCCCAGCAGTGGGATTGCTGGGTCATATGGGCATTCTATTTTTAGTTTTTTTAAGGAACCTCCATACTGTTCTCCACAGTGGCTGTATCAATTTACGCTCCCACCAACAGAACACTCACTTTTACAGGGGAAGGGGCTTCACAACTCATCTTCTGGCTCTAGTTTCCTCTCCAGGCCACTGTCATGCTAGTGCCTTATTCATCTTTTTGAAATGCTTCTTCATTCTACTATTCTCTGGCTCAAACCTCTAGCCACTGCCCATCACCATTTAGATAAAATCCATATTCCTTAGCCTCATATTTAAAACTCTCTATTGTTGGGGTCCTTTTTTTGCCTCTTGTTCATAATACCTCTCTCCTTCATACACATCTTATTCTGTCTTCAAGAGCCAATCTGCCACCTTTTAAAATTCTTTTTAACTCTACTCTATGCCACAGTCATCTATCCTTCTTCCAAATTCCTATATTAGTTTTTGACTTTTCTGTAATTTTGGTACTTAGCATGATATTAAGAGATATTTTAACTTTTTCTTCATGGCTTTTATTCTCATTGAAATTGTAGGCTCTTCATAAATAAGACTCTTTGACTTATAGAACATCAGAGTGTGGAAGAATTTTAAGCTCTGCTGATCAAATGTTCTCATTTTATAGAAGAGAAAACAGGCACCAGTGACTGTCCCAAAGGCTCACAATGACTAGTGACTTTTTCTTATTCAGCTACCTTTCCCCATACCACTGGAAAAAAAAGTTCAGTGAATACAGGGTAAACATCAGGGCTTGTCAGAGCTTGTAGAGTCCTTTTATAAATTTACAGACTATAACTTTATGTACAGTATCCCATTTGCTAGATGTAGTCTGTGTGTCCTCGCTATCATGAGGGATTCAAATAATGTATGATTTGCATTTCAGTTTCATGTGAATGCATGTGAAATAATCCTTTTAATAGTAGGTTCATATATTTTTATATATCTACCTTGTTTATTTCTTAATTTGCCTTATTTGTGCTTTGTTTGTGGATGATGCAAAGGTGAATTCAAGAACGAGACTTGAAGGATCACAAATTCCAAATTAGTAGAATCTGAAATATTTAAGTTCTCTACATAGATTATATTGGAATTTTATAAAAGTAAATATTATAAGAAAGAGCTTTTGGCCCGTCAGAAGACATTTGTTAAGTAATAGTGATGATTCTATTGAAACCCCTGCTTGTTCTATCGATATTTGCTCTGTGGGTGAAAACTCAGTGTTCATGAGGCCAAGGTTTCTGGTCTGTTCCTGATAAGAAAATGGGCTATATTTTGTTCTATGGGCACACAAAGCACTTTGATCTGGTACCTCCCTAAGCTACAGTTTTTAAAATGAGAGAAGCCTGCCACAAGGGAGTCTAGGACAGAGAGGACAGTAGAGTGTCCAAATCTTTTATTGTTCCATATAATCTTCAGATTATATGGGTCAGAATGTTCTCTTTTGAGTAGAGAACTCAAAATTTACCACCATATATAAATGCTGTCTTCTAAGAGCACAAGTAGTTACAAATTGAAAATTTTTATTATTTCTTATTTGATTGTATTTTCAGTTTAGTATTGCTAAATACACTCTCTTTAAATATAAAATCCCCATGGAATTTTTACTAATTAATTCTTGGTTGATTCCTGGATTCTTGGTTGAGACCAGATAGGACCCGGGTAGGCTCCTCTCCCTACCATTCACTCTTCATTTAACATGCACTAATCCAACCAAAAGCTATTGAAAGCCTACTGTGAGCTGGGAGTTAATGATATAAGATGAATAAAATTCTATCTCAAAGAGCTCAAAGTGTATTGAACTCTGTCTTTGGGTAAATCATGTAAACGGTTTGGATCTTAATCCCTTATTTTAACATAAGAGGATTAAATTAATTCTAATACTAATCATAGTGAAACTATTAATACAAATGTTTCCTTATATCAGTGTGTCTATAATATTATAATGCTTATGGAAAAAGAAATAGCATAATTTTATTTTCTATGCAAAGAGTGTTTTTAAAAAAATCTTTGAAGCATATTCTTATTTAGGACTACCAACTCTATGTTTTCTTTGTTAAAAGATTTTTTTAATAATTTCATATTTTTGACCACACTATTCAAAATAGTTATGCTAAAAACATGATATAGTAAACCTATTTTACTCTTACTACTGAGCTCAATTAAGAGTCCCATAGCAGGGTGATTCAGGAAGGGGTAGGCATGTAGAAAGGAACATGAAATTGGAATATGAAGGACAGCAATCTCATAGTTAATAATTTTGATGCTCAAATATGCAACATTTGGCCAGTAGGTGCCATTTAAACAGATTTTCCTGTGCTTTTAAAATTGCATTTGAATATATATGGGGTGAAAGAACATCTTAATATTAATGGTTTTTCCAATGTGTAAACATGATATCTATTTCCATTTATTTAGTTCCATCTTAATCGCTTTTATCATTCTTTTGTAGTTTTCAGTGTAAATGTCTTACATATCATTATGATACTTGATATTATTTCTATCATTTTGAATTAATCAAGACTTGTTTTGTGGCTTAATATATGATCTACCTTAGAAAATATTTTGTGTGCACCTGAGAAAAATGTGTAGTAGGCAGCTGTTAGATGGAACTTTCTGTATATGCCCATTAGGTCCATTCAGTCTATTGCATTGTTCAAGTCTGCTGTTTCCTTATTGGTTCTCCATCTGGATGATGTATCCATTGTTGAGAGTGGGGTATTCAAGTCCCCAGCTACTATTGCATTGCTATTTCTTTCTCCTTTTAGTTCCGCTAGTATTTGCTTTACATATTTAGGTACTGAGTGCATATTTATAATAAATACATCTTCTTGATAGGTTGTCCTCTTTATAATTATAACTTAGTCTATCTTGTCTGAAATAGGTATAGCTTCCTTTGCTTTATTTTGGTAACCATTTGCTTGAAATATCTTTCTCCATCCCTTTTCTCTCAGTGTGTTGTGTTCTTAAAGTTATTCTCATGTAGGCAGCATATCATTTGATTTTTTAAAATCCATTCAACCTCTATGACCTTTTATTGGAGAATTAATTCACTTACCTTTAAAACAATTATCGATAGGTAAGGACTTACTATTGCCATTTTGTTAATTATTTCTGATTGTTTTGTAATTGCTTTGTTCTTTACTTGTTATCTTGCTGTCTTCCTTTGTGATTTGATGACTTTTTTTGGTGGTATGCTTTGACCCCTATATCATCTTTCATGTGTCTAAAATTACCTATCACTTCATCCATTAAACTCATTTTTTCTGTAGATTCTTATACATGTTCATAATAGTTATAGTATTTGTCTGCCAATTCCAATATCCTCATTGTGTGGGTATTTCTATTGATTGAGTTTTTCCTTAGCTATGAGACATTTTTTTCTGCTTCTTCAAATCTAGTAATTTTGATTATGCATTGAGCATTGTGGATGGTATTGTAGAAAGTCTGAATTCTATTATTATATTTCTCTAAAGAGTATTGAATTTTGTTTTAGCAGGCAGTTAGATTACTGGCAAATCATTTGGACCCTGTTGAGTCATGATACTCTTTGTAAAGATGGGTTTATCTTAGTTATACCCTTTGACTTGGGAGTAACCCTTTGACTTAGAACATAATCCTAAATCCTATAGCAAGACCTTTTACACATTTAAATAAAAAGTCCAAAGTGTTTATCTAAAGTGTTGACCAAACTTGTCTAACTTGGAAGAAATGTAAACTCCAAACTCTGTCTCCTTGGGTCTTCCCAGGACCATTGCTGAAATACCAGCTTAGCACTTTTGGAATGCCAGCTCTTCTCTCCATTGCCGCTGAGCTCTTGGTAGTCACGTCTGCGTGTGCAGAGTTAGACTCAGCCAAGTGTTCTAAAGTTTGCAGATTTGGATCTCCCCACTCTGTGGCTTGCTCTTCCAGCATTTCTTTCTCAATATCCCAGTATTTTGGCAGCCCAACTTCTGACCTTAGACTTCCCAGCTCAAGATTGTCATTCTGCTTGAGCTCTGCTTCCCAAGTTTCTCATTTACTGGGGAGTCACTTCAAGGGAATATATGGATAAACCTAGTTTCACCTCTTATGCTAACCTTATTTCCAGTGTGATTTATTCTTGTTTCTGCCTCCTTTTCTTTCCTTCCCAGTGCCTTCAAACAGTCCTTTTTTTTTTTTTTTTTTTTGCCCACACCATGCGGCTTGAGGGATCTTAGTTCCCCGACCAGGGATTGAACCCAGGCCACGGCCATGAAAGCCCAGAATCCTAACCACTAGGCCACCAGGGAACTCCCCAAACAGTTGTTTCTAATTGTTGATGTAAGGAAAGGTAAAATGCTATAAGTTACTCTATCACCAAAAGCTAGGAGTGTACACACAATTTCACACCTTACTTTTTTAACTTAATATTTTCATATATTTTTCAATTTATTAAAGCGTTCTTCATAAATATCTTTTAAAATGACTTAAGAATGCCCCAGTGTGTGCGTGAAAAAATATATTATCATTTACTTGGATATTCTATTTCAGGGAGTCATATATTTGGATGTTAGATAGCTACAGTGAACACTTCTGCATAAAGCATTTGTGAAATTTTCTAGTTGTTTGAGAGAGATTTCTAGGAGTGAGATTAGTGTAGATTGTTAAGCATTCTTTGAATTATTTTTCCACCTTTTAAAAATAATCAGTTGGTAAATTTATGTATAATATTGTTGGATTTCTAGTTTTCTAGGTTGGTATTATTAGCAATGGATTCCTTTAACAATTTGATATAACAAGTTCTCAGAGGGCATATAAGAAATTTGAAGTCAAAGTTTTTAGTTGCTTCTTAAAAAATTCAAATTAACTTTGATTTCCTTACATATATTAACATATATTGGGTTTCCTGAATATATTACCACACTGAAACGGAGTGAAAGAATGTTGTTTCCTTTTTTTCTATAAAAATAATTTATTATTGTATAGTAACATACTAGGCTTTCTTGTGGTATGTCTGTAATTTCCTATTTTTAAATTTAGAAACATAGTCTGAGTGTGATCAGAGATAGAGTCACTGTTTATAAAAACGATGACAAAAATCTGTGTCTGGATAAAGATTTCTCTTCTCACAAATTTACTTCATTTGTGTCTTATCTGAGGTATGATGATCAAATGATAATCAATTCCATTTCTTTGACATATTATTATAGTCATATTTTCTTTTTTTTTTGCGGTACGCGGGCCTCTCACTGTTGTGGCCTCTTCCGCCGCGGAGCACAGGCTTCGGACGCGCAGGCCCAGCAGCCATGGCTCACGGGCCCAGCCGCTCTGCGGCATGTGGGATCTTCCCAGACCGGGGCACGAACCCGTGTCCCCTGCATCGGCAGGCGGACTCTCAACCACTGCGCCACCAGGGAAGCCCCTATAGTCATATTTTCAAATGACATTTTCTATTCTAATTAATATATTTTTATTTGTTTTTTTCTCTAAGCAAAAAGAAGATAATATCCGTTGCTTAACTACGCTTGGTCATTTTGGTTTTGATTGTTTGCCTCGTCAACTGGTGAACAAATCTGTTCAACAAGGGTTCTTTTTTAATATTCTCTGTGTGGGTAAGTGCCAAACCCCTCACATGAATTATTTCCTAATTTTCCTAAATGCTCATTTCAACTTCACTTAAGCAGCATAACACTGGTGCTGTTAATTTAAGACTATGCCTTCGTGTTTCTATTGGTTTGTATCTTTAGTCCTGTTACTTAGACATTTTTTTCTTTAAGTGTTTCAGTGCTCTTCAAAATCTGATATAGCTTTGTGTATATTATCTTTCTATATTATGTAATGATGGAGGGAGTCAAGAGTGGCATGTATACTTTCAAGGATATTCCTGTCTTTAAAGTGTTTGGGACCCTTTAAACCATCCTAGAGGGTCAGGGTGTTACTTTTTCTCAGACATCTTATGCCCCTATGATATATCTATGTTTATACAGGGGAAACTGGGATTGGAAAATCAACATTGATCGACACACTGTTCAATACTAATTTGAAAGACAAAAAATCCTCACATTTTTACCCAAATGTTGGACTTAAAATTCAGACATATGAACTTCAGGAAAGCAATATTCAATTGAATTTAACTGTTGTGAAAACAGTGGGGTATGGTGATCAAATAAACAAGGAAGCCAGGTGAGTGGTTTTTTATTTTAATTTAAAAATTATTCTTATTTTAAGGAACTTACTTTCTTTCTCCATGTATTAAAAAGTAATAGTCTTCTACGAGCTTCCCTGGTGGCGCAGTGGTTGAGAGTCTGCCTGCCGATGCAGGGGACACGGATTCGTGCCCCGGTCTGGGAAGATCCCACATGCCGCGGAGCAGCTGGGCCCGTGAGCCATGGCCGCTGAGCCTGCGCGTCCGGAGCCTGTGCTCCGCAGCGGGAGAGGCCACAACAGTGAGAGGCCCGCGTACCGCAAAAAAAAAGAAAAAAAAGTAATAGTCTTCTAGAATATATATATATGTATATATACATGTACATATATATATATATATATATATATATATATATATATAACTGAGTCACTTTGCTGTACAGCAGAAATTAACACAACATTGTAAATCAACTGTATTTCAATTAAAAAATAATAAAATGGCTCTATTGTAATAGATGGCATGCAATTGGATCTTTTTTTACAGCCACCCCTGCTTTATTTTCATTTCCACTTTCATGGTATATCTTTTTCTATTTCTTTACTTTGGGCCTATGTGTGTCCTTAATGCTGAATGAGTGTCTTGTCAGCCCCGGATGGTTGGGTTTTATTTTTTTAATCCATCTAACCATCTGTGCCTTTTGATTACTGAGTTCAACTCATTTATATTTAGAATAATTATTGATGTGTAAGGACTTACTACTGCCATCTTATTAATTGTGTTCTGGTTGTTTCGTAGTTCCATTATTTAGTTTTTTTCTCTGTTTCTTTCTGCCTTTGTAAATTGGTGATTTTTTGTGCTGGTATGTTCTGATTTCCCTTTCTTTATCTTTTGTGAATCTACTCTAGGTTTTTGCTTTGTGGTTGTCATGAAACTTACATAAAATATCTTACAGATAAAACTGATAGGTGGTTTACTTTGATCGCATAAGAAAATTTCACCCTTTTGCTCCCCATTTTATATTTTGAGGTCACAAATTTACCTCTTTTTATATTGTATATTCTTTAACAAATTACAGTACTATAGTTATTTTTAATACTTTTGTCCCTAACCATTATACTCTAGTTAAGTTGTTAACATGCTATCTTATCACAGATTAGATGTTTCTAAATCTGTATATTTGCCTTTACCAGTGTGTTATATACTTTTGTACATTTTCATGTTCTAATTAGTGTCTTTTTGCTTCTGTCTGAAGAAATTCTTAAAGATTTTCTCGCAAGGCAGATCTAGTACCAATGAACTTTCTCAGCTTTTTTGTTGTTGTTTGGGAAAGTCTTATTTCTCCTTCATTTCTGAAGAATAACTTTGCCAAACAGAGGATTCTTGGGCTGGCAATTTTTATATTTTGTTATTTTTCTCTCTCCTGGCCTGTAGGTCTCTGCTGAGAAATCTGCTGATAGCCTAACGGGGGTTTCTTTATAGGTTACACTTTTTTTTTCTTTTGCTGCTGTTAGGATTCTCTATTTGTCTTTGATTTTTGACAGCCTCATTATAAGGTGTCTTGAGAAGGTCTTTATGCATTGAGATATATAGTGATCTATTAGGTTTGTAAACTTAGATGGCTAAGTGTCTCCCAAAATTTGTGAAGTTCTCAGCTATTCTTTCTTTTTTTTAAGTTATTTTTTCCTGGAGTATAGTTGCTTTATAATGTGTTAGTTTCTTGCTGTACAGCAAAATGAATCAGTCATACGTATACATATATCCCCTCTTTTTTAGATTTCCTTCCCATTTAGGTCACCACTCAGCTATTCTTTCTATTTATTTGTTTGTTTGTTTATGGCTGTCTTTGGGTCTTCGTTGCTGTGTGCGGGCTTTCTCTAGTTGCGGTGAGCGGGGGCTGCTCTTCATTGCAGTGCTCGAGCTTCTTCTCATCGTTGTGGCTTCTCTTGTTGCGCAGCATGGGCTCTAGGCGTGCGGGCTTCAGTAGTTGTGGCTCACGGGCTCAGTAGTTGTGGCTCACAGGCTCTAGAGCGCAGGCTCAGTAGTTGTGGCGCATGGACTTAGTTGCTCTGTGGCATGTGGGATCTTCCCGAACCAAGGCTCGAACCCGTGTCCCCTGCATTGGCAGGCGGGTTCTTAACCACTGCGCCACCAGGGATGTCCCTATTCTTTCTTTAAATAAACGTTCTGCCCTTTTCTTCCTTTCCTCTCAGTATGGAACTCCAACTATTCTAATATTTATATATTTTTTGAAGTCTCTTAGATCACATAGGCTTTCTTCATTCATTTTCATTCTTTCTGTCTTTATTTTCCTCTGCTTGAGTTATTTCAAAGTTCCTATTCTCTAGCACACTGATTCTATTCTCCATTTGGTCTCTTCTGCTGTAGATGCTCTCTATTGCATTTTCTATTTCGTTCATTGAATTTTTCCCCAGAATTTCTGTTTGGATTTTTTTTTTTTTTAAGATTTCTATCCCTTTCTTAAGTTTCTAATTTTGCTCATACATTGTTTTTCTGATTTTGTTGAATTGTCTTTATGTGTTTTCTTGTATTTCATTGAGTTTCATTAAAACAATTATTTTGAAATCTTTTTCAGATAGATTGCAAAATTCTGTGCCTGTGATTCAGTTATTGGAGGATTATTATTATCTTTTGCGGGTGACATGTTTTCTTGATTCTTCACATTCCTTGGAGTTTTGCATTGCTGCTTTTGCATTTGAAGTAGCAGACAGCTCCTCAAATCTTTTACTAGTTGCATTTAGGTGGATATACTGTTTATTCGTCCTGTTATATCTGGGAGCTTTCTCTGACCTTGTATGGACAGCCCAGCTCCACAGTTCTTGCTCCCTCTTGCGGCAAAATTCTTAAGCTTTTATGCCTTCTCTGATTCTTACAACTCTCCTGGCTGGCTTCTGGGAACTTCTTTTTTTCCTTTCAGAAAGCGGTGCTATAGCTCAAAATTTCCAGAAAGTGGTTTCTCTTGCTCACAGATTCTGGTCTGATTTTTCTGAGCACAGTCCATTTACCAGATCTCACTCTTGCCATCACATGCAGGAGGTGTGCACACAGCCTGCTGCAGAGTGTGGGGGAGGTGTGGGTTTAGCACACGGGGCACTGGGAGTATGCATGTGTCCAATGGGGGAGATCATCAGGTGAGGTTCTCCCAGAGGCTAAATGGCTGAGTTTCCTGCT